AAATACGACAATAACGACGGCCGCTTGCATGTTCTGCAAAAAAAATGTGCTTTGTCGTGTATCTGACGGACAAACACCAAACCAGTTCCACATCACTGAAGTTGCACCATTTTTACAAACCAATTCTGGTTCATCTGTTTCACTCAACAATCGGCCATGTGCGTATGAAAACAAAGGCACTGCGCATGCGCGTTTTACTTACATTCTATCGCGATATTTCATTTTCCTATCATTGTCTAACATTATACCGGTATTACCGTGAACGGTATAATATGGCCCAGCCCTACCAAAATATATGCTTTCCTTCCTTTGGTCCTTCTTTAAGTTCAGTTAAAAGCTAAATTAATTTGAGCCCTTTTGCCTGGAATCAATACTGTCATGTGTGTTTATGGACTCTATGTCTGTAAGCGTGTGCAATCCTTCAATAACTCATATCATCCTCACAGTAGATTGGCTGTCTGTCACCAGACAGAGAGACAGAAGCCACTCTCATATATGCAATAACCGAACTGAAACTATGTATATGTCATCTACTAAATAACCTCTACTAAAAGCTTAATAAAAGAATATAAAAGTATAACAGACAATTTGAACACCCTAGTTATTCACATAGCCTCGTCTAACCAGCTCCTCAGAATGCTTTCGGTTTCACTTCTGCAAACTCTCTGCAACCCTGCAGTTTCCTGTCACTCTGACTCTGTACAGGATGTACTCAAAATCAACAAAATCAGCACATACACACTTAAGATTATAACAAGCATTCAAAACATTTAAGATCATAGATTCAACTCAACAATTTAAAGTGGTTATAACTGCACCTGTAATAAAGGCTAATTGGGTACCAAAATGTTTAAACATCTGAATGCAATATCAATACTGTAAATTATATTGTTAATGCAATGGTAATGATGATTATTATTAACAATAGCAGCAAAATATCTCTCCACTCTCAACAGGCAAGAGGGCAATAACAAGCCAAAGAACTGGAAGGGACCTAAAAAAGACACAGGAATGAAGCAACCATGTTATCGTTGTGGTGGAAAGCATTCAGCACGTGAGTGCAAATTTAAGAGTGAAAAGTGTCATGTTTGTGCAAAAATAGGACACATTGCACGTGCTTGCAGGAATAAAAAATTCAGTCAGCAAACTCAGTATTTGGAAACTGAGGATGAATGCTCAAGTAGGAATGATGAAGCTGAACTTTTTGGAGTTTATTCAATGTACTCCATCACCTCCAGTGAGAAGGGATACACAGTGGATGTTGCGCTTGGGAGCAAGAACACCACCATGCTGCTGGATACAGGATCAGCAGTGTCGGTAGTATCAGACAAGTATTATCAGATGCATCTCACTCATTTCCCTATAAAACCAGCCAGTGGGCTAAAGCTCAAGTCCTACTCAGGCCAACACATTGCTGTGCGTGGATATATTATGTTACCAGTACAGTATGGGACTCAAAACATCACCCTACCACTGATCGTTGTTCAGGGAGACAGACCAGCTCTGATTGGACGAAACTGGTTAAAGAAACTACAGCTGAACTGGAAACAGATTTTCACAGTACACAAGGTACTGGTGCAGAAAGAAGCAAAGCCAGGAGTACTAGAAGTGATTCAGCGCCATCAGGCAGTGTTTTCGGATGACCAAGGCTGCATAAAGGGATTTAAAGCTAGAATCCACACTAAACCAAACACCACACCAATTTTCTGTAAAGCTCGCCCAGTTCCTTATGCACTAAAAGAAGCTGTGGAAAAGGAGCTGGACAGATTGGAAAAGGTGAAGGTTATTTCAAAGGTTGAGAAAAGTGAGTGGGCATCCCCTATTGTTACTGTGCCAAAGGCAGACAAAACAATTAGGATATGTGGTGACTACAAAGTCAGTGTCAACCAGTGTGTTGAAGAGGAAAGATATCCACTTCCAAATACTGAAGATTTGTTTGCCACTTTAGCTGGAGGAACATCCTTCAGTAAACTTGACCTTTCTCATGCCTATCAGCAGCTACAGTTAGATGAAGAATCAGAGAAGTATCTGGTCATCAACACACACAAAGGTCTCTATAAGTACAATCGCCTCAGCTATGGTGTTTCCAGTGCTCCGGCTCTTTTCCAGTCTGTGACTGGAAAAGAGCCGGAGCACTGGAAACACCACAACACAACAACACGGATTTGATCCATCTGTGATGGATCAAATCCTTCAGGGGATGGAGCATGTGACCTGCTTTTTGGATGACATCCTCATCACTGCTTCATCTGAAAGGGATCATTTGAAGAGGTTGGAGGAAGTACTCACACGTCTGGAGAAGCATGGTGTCAGAGTGAAGCTTTCCAAGTGCCACTTTCTTCAGAGCAGTGTGGAGTACCTGGGACATCGTATTGACAGGGATGGTCTGCATCCTTTAGAGGAAAAGGTAGCAGCCATAGCAAATGCACCAGAACCAACAAACGTCACTGAACTGAAGTCCTTTCTTGGTCTTCTAAATTACTACAGTCGATTTTTGGAAAATCCATCCACCATTCTTCAGCCTTTGCATAACCTGTTGAGAAAAGATGCTAAATGGATTTGGACATGTCGGGGAAGTGGGAGGAGCAGTGGGAGGAGCGGTGGGAGGAGCGGTGGGAGAAGCAAATTCAAATTCAAATTTTATTTGTCACGTACACAGTCAACTTGTGGGGATAGGTTAATTGGATAATCCAAATTACCACTAGGTGTGAATGTGCGAGTGAATGTGAGTGCGAATGGTTGTCTGTCCCTGTGTGTTGGCCCTGCGACAGACTGGCGACCTGTCCAGGGTGTACCCCGCCTCTCGCCCTATGACAGCTGGGATAGGCTCCAGCGCCCCCCGCGACCCTGAAAAGGATAAGCGGAAGCGAATGGATGGATGGACGTACACAGTCATACACAATACGATATGCAGTGAAATGCTTAGACAACTGCTCGTGACCTAAAGAAAAAAAGGAAAAGGCTATGAATAAGATAGGAAATAAATATGAAAAATTAAAAAGGGTAAATTTAACTAGGAAGGAATAAAATATAAATTAAGGTTAAAAATGAAATAACTGTACAACACAAATTAGAATGAAGGGTAAATTTAACTGGGAAGAATAAGATAAAATATATAAATTAAAGTTGAAAATAAAATAACTGTACAACAAAATACACAATACACAATATAGAACTATATAAGAATGTATGAAGAAATATAAATAAATATATACACAATAACAGCAGCTGTACAAGTATTAACTGGAAATGAAGAATATAGTGACCAGTGTTGTGCAATCCACATTATGTCTTGTGCAGTGCAAATATGCTTAAAGTGATTTAAGTGATGAAGTGAAAACAATGTCCAGAATGTCCAGTGTGTGTGTAAGAACTGTATGTGTGGGTCAGTACTGTGTGGTGGTGTGATTGAGAGACCGTATCGCCTGCGGGAAGAAGCTCCTCCTCAGTCTCTCTGTGTTGGTCTTCAGGGAGCGGAATCGCTTTCCTGACCTCAGCAGAGAGAACAGTCTGTTGTTGGGATGGCTGAGGTCCTTCACGATCTTCCTGGCCTTGGTCCAGCACCGCCTGCTGTAGATTGAGTGCAGGTCAGGGAGCTCGGAGCGGATGGTGCGCTCAGCTGACCGCACAACCCTCTGTAGAGCTCGTCTGTCCTGCATGGTGCTGTTCCCGAACCAGGTTAAGATGTTTCCCGTCAGGATGCTCTCTATGGTGCACGAGTAAAAGTTCCTGAGCACCTTGGAGGGCAGTTGGAAGTCTCTCAAGCGTCTGAGGTGGTAGAGACGCTGACGGGCCTTTTTCACCACGGTGTTGATGTGACAGGACCATGACAGGTCCTGCGTGATGTGAACTCCGAGGTATTTGAAGCTGTCCACTCTCTCCACTGGGCACTCGTTGATGACGGGGGTCTGGTAGTTCCTCTCCTGCTTAGTGCTGAAGTCCACTATCAGCTCCTTTGTCTTACTGACGTTTAGAAGGAGGTTGTTCCTCTGGCACCAGTTCTCCAGATTCCTAATCTCCTTCAGGTAGGCCGTCTCGTTGTTATCAGAGATCAGGCCCACCACGACGGTGTCGTCAGCAAACTTGATGATGGTGGTGGAGCTGGTAGTGGCCACACAGTCATATGTGTACAGAGAGTACAGCAGGGGGCTCCAGTGCTGAGAGTGGTGGAGGCTGAGACATGTCCGCCCATCCTTACTGCCTGTGGTCTGCCAGTTAGGAAGTTGGAGATCCACTGACACATAGATGAGCTGAGTCCCAGATGCTCCAGCTTGGTGGTGAGTGTGGAGGGAATTATGGTGTTAAATGCAGAGCTGTAGTCTATGAAGAGCATTTTAACATAATTCCCCCTTCTAGTGTCCAAGTGAGTGAGTGATGTGTGGAGGAGATGAGAGATGGCATCGTCTGTGGAACGATTTGGAGTGGGTCCAGTGTGTCTGGTAGTGAAGAAATGATGAAGTCTCTGACCAGGCGTTCAAAACACTTCATCACTACTGAGGTGAGGGCTACAGGGCGATAGTCATTGAGAGAAGCAGGGTGGGGTTTCTTCGGGACAGGAACAATGATGGACTCTTTGAAGCATGTGGGGATCACCGACTGAGATAAAGAGATGTTGAATATCTCAGTGAACACAGGAGCTAGCTGGTATGCGCAGTCTCTGAGGATACGACCTGGGATGCCGTCTGGTCCTGCTGCTTTCCTGGTGTTCACTCTTTTGAAGGCTCTCCTTACTTCATGCTCGGAGATGACGAGCACGTTTCCGGTGCTGGCAGTATCTTCCTGTCTGCAGCACTAGCATTGTTGGAGTCCTTAGCTGCAGCCTCGAAGCGAGCATAGAAAGTGTTCAGCTCATCTGCCAGAGTCACGGCCGCGTTCGTCATACCGGTTGTTGGTGCTTTATAGTCCGTTATTGTCCTTAGTCCCCGCCACAGGCTCCTAGAGTCACTCTGTTGGAGTTGTGACTCTAGTTTCCTCCCGTAGCGCTGCTTCGCCTCTTTCACCGCCCTCCGCACGTTATATGACGCGGCTTTGTACGGGTCCATGTCCCCCGTCGTGAGTCCCGTGTTGTAGGCAGCGGTGCGGGATCTCAGAGCGTCGCGGATGGTTTTATCCACCCACGGCTTCTGGTTGGGAAACGTTGTGATAGTCTTTGTCTCCACGGTATCATCCGCTTCCCTTTGTTCTCCCTCGAGATCTCACTCGGCCAGCTCGGATCCGGAGTTAAAAACTTCGAATTGTGAGTACATTGTATACCAATAGAAACAAGAGTGTCACTGTCATACCTAATGTACCCAATGGTGATGATTTTGCCGATTTAGAAACGCTGAAAACTAACTTAAAAAACAAAGACAAAGAAAAAGTGGTCGGAGCAGTCGTGACGGCAGCCGACCTCACCGGCGCCATCTTAATCACCTTGGGGGAACGGTTTGGCCTATCCAAGTACACTGTTGTAGAAGCAGTGGGAGGAGCGGTGGGAGCAGCGGTGGGAGAAGCAGTGGGAGGAGCAGTGGAGGATGGTGGGAGCAGCAGTGAGAGAAGTGGTGGGAGAAGCAGTGGGAGGAGCAGTGGGAGCAGCAGTGGGAGGAGCAGTGGGAGCAGCAGTGGAAGCAGTGGGAGGAGCGCTGGAAGGAGTGGTGGGAGCAGCGGTGGGAGCAGCAGTGGGAGAAGCAGTGGGAGGAGCAGTGGGTGAAGCGGTGGAGCAGCAGTGGGAGGAGCAGTGGGAGTGGGAAGGAGCAGTGGTGGAGCGCTGGAAGGAGAGGTGGGAGCAGCAGTGGGAGGAGCAGTGGGAGAGCGGTGGGAGAGCAGTGGGAGGAGCAGTGGGAGAAGCAGTCGGAGTAGTGGTGGTTTGTAATGAACTGTCTGGGGAGGGAAGGTAACAAAGCCTGGTGGTGTCCCTGTAACTGTGTCGCTGATCCATTTCTGGTACTGGGAGACAGGAGTGTAGGTTGAAGGAATTTCAGAGCATCCAGGCACAATGAGAAGTCCACTCTGGAGCCAGACGGATCCACTCTGAGTCATCAGTGGTGTCCCAAGACTAAGCTGTGGAAAGACAGTGATGAAAGTTATCAGGACAGATGTGTAACTGTTAGAGGTCGACCTTTGTCACCCACTAAAGTTTGAACTTTGTTGGTAGTTTTGTTACAAACTGCTGAAATAAATTAAGTAATAAATAAATTGATCGTCCCAGTATAACACAGTCAGTAACACTTCATGGATATCAGTCTGTCCACTTAGGAAACATGAACCACTGTGAATCCACTTCAGCTGCTTTGGTGCAATGAAAGTGACGATTCCACAGACAGAAAGTTTCAGACAGCTCGTTTAAAGGAATCAGTTTCATCAAATAAATTAGAGGCTTTAGAAAAAACAACCTTTGATAAACATGAATATTAATATTTATGGTCAATTACAGAAAAACAAGTAAACCAAAGTGTGACTAAAGGTGAGATTATCTCAGTGACTGTCAACAACAGATTACACAATAAATAAAACTTGTGCTCACCAAATATGACTCTCTAGTACAGATGATGCTGTCTGTGAGCCCTGGATATCTGGCTTTGCACACATTGTTTCCCACTATTGGTACGTTTGCCTCCTGCAGGTTATTGCTGATTTCTAGTTGGAGAGTATTTAGACATCAGGCTTTTCTAAAGACTCCAACACAATGCTGTAAAATACAATAAATATTTTATGATTTACCATCAAAGCCGATGGCCCAGCTGCTGGTCTCACTGTTGAAAGTGCTGTTTTGTGAGGCTAAGCAGATCGGCCGAATGTAGTCTGTGAAATTCACAGGAGCCGACAGCTTCAGAAGACAAATGTCGTTCTCACAAGTCGACGAGTTGAATCCAGGATGGCAGGTGATGTTTACCACAGTGCGATTCACTTCATTTGGGTTTGGACCTGAGCGCCTGTTGCGGCCCAGATAGACCACCATGCTAATGGAGGCCGACGGGTAAAATCTGTTTTCCAAAGGTTGCATGAAAGTATCAGACAGTTCAGTGCAGGTTAAACTGGTTAGTTTACAACACTGTGGTGAAGGTTACAGAGGTGCTCTATGTTGGACTGGTGCAGAGCGTGGTCAGAGTGCATCAAGGTTAGCAGACATCAAAGCTTTACAGGGTGTGTATCAGCCACAGAGCTCAAGTAACATCTGTTTACATGTTGTTGAACTGAGCAGTGACTGTGACGTGAGGTCAGCTGCACACAAACAAAACAAACGACTTTTTCTCACTGAGTCTTTTTCCCACTTTGCATTGCTGCACCTGATCTTAGTTTCAGTGTTCATTAATGACCTCACAGAGGTAGTTGTATTTAATAGCAGCAGGTTTTGCCATTTAAAGTTTTCATGCTAAGCTAACCATCTTATGACATCAATGGACAGAATGAGGTCAATATTTTCATTTGACAGCACAACTATGACAAATGAACTCTTCTAAAACACCATGAAATCTATGGAAGTACTTTATAGTCTTGGATGAGATGAAATCAATGTGGCATCTGGTTTGATTGTTGTGGAGACAACTCTGTACTTTGCAGTTCAGCTTGTTGTTTCTAAATGGCCTGTATTT